CCCCCTATCCAGACACCCTGCTGATTCTAACAAGTATTATAACACCAGTGCAAGGACACACACACACACACTCACGCATGTCCCAGATGCAATCAGTGTGGCCTTTGCCTTCATCCATTGTGCTCTAACGATTAAGCCTTAGCCCTGCTCGGTGGCCTATAGGCCAGCTCTGCTGCTGTGCATCTCATCACATCCCATTCATCACACAGTGGCTGTCTCCACCTCCATCACATCGGCCTGCCGCTGACCTACTATTGAGCCCCCCCACACACACACACACACACACACACACACACACACACACACTCAGTTGTGAGTAGTTTGTTATTTTTGCTCTCTGTTTGCAAAATAGGATTAGAATCAGCCATTCTTACAGATCCATCATAATCTAATCGTTGAGATTTCCCATTTTGGCACATCAGAAATGTTTGATACTGTTAAACTTTTTTTTTTTTTTACACGCTTGTAGCTCACTTATTTAGAAATATTTCACTTTCCCGATTTGTGTTTTTAATCAGAAGAATGCGCTGGCATATCAAAACCTTATCCCAGAGAATATCTTACCTTTTTAGATATTTATAGCTACACATTTGTTAAGCTTCTCGCCTTGGTCAGAGATTTGTAGTAAATCTAATCCATCAAGATTGAAATTACAGGTCTAGAAATACAGAAATGTATTCCTTCCATTACACTGTTAAAATATTTTCAACATAGTAACCTTTCTGTTAATTAGACCACTAGTTCAAAGAGCTTCTCTGTATTTGCACACAGATGACAGTTCATCATTTTCTGTGAGCAATTTCCCTATTATTACAGCTTGGTACCTCGGCGTAAAAGGTCAATATTTACCCCCCACCTCCTCACACCCACACGTGCTTCAGCACACACGCTCCCTGCACAATCCATCCAAACGCAAACAGGTTGACAAGTAAGAAAAAGAGAGTCATGCTTTTATGGGAGAAATTAAAATGCTAATTTTGACAAGACATAAAACTCCACCTTGAGTTTTTCTTCCACTCCATTGGGATTCAATATCTTTTTTTCATTCACCGCTCTTATAGGGTGTACGTCCCGCCTCCATCTCTCCCTGCTCAGTTTAACTGGGTAGAGGATATCTCAGCCGGCTTCTGTTCGACAGGCCGTCTGCTGTTGTAGCTGCCAGCAGTGCCGAGCTAGACAACATGCAGTTGAGGTCAATCCCATGTTTATCCTGAGCTGTTGAACAATATGAATTTACACTTAATAATTTAAGCCTTTTCATCCGTTATCCTTCCTGCTACACCCCGAAGTTCAGCTGCGCCTCTGCCGCTCCGCTGTCAGTGTTTACCGACGCCACACATCATTCCCCATAGATGATGTCGACGCGGCGGGCCACGCTCCACCCCCGTGACCGATCGGTCGGGTGACGATGCGGCAGACGCGTCTCATCAGGAGACCAGAGCGGCGTCTCCGAGGGGCCCACGGTGGGCGGCGCGTAAGCTACAACACACCACACAAGTTCAGGGCCTAATCGTCTCATTGTCTCCGTTCTGCTTGAGAGGATCAGCAGCCGTGCTAAGCTCCTCTGGGTACCGGCCCTCAGCTGCTCTCTGCCATCATGCTTTGCCGTTGTTGTTGTTGTTGTTGTTTGTGATCGCAGAGAACCCAATTTATGTCGGCGGCATTGATTGGTTATTTTGTTCACCTTTTTTCATTGTGGATTTCATTTAATCATTTCTTCTCCTCGGTCTTCTGGGTGTTGTGTTGTTCTTGAGGTGCTGTTATTAGCAATGAGCACAGCCTTGACTGGCCGGTCGCTGTTTCTTTTCAGTAGCTATTCACGTCTTTACTTGATGGTTTAACTATAATGGCTGCGGTGGGAGAAGTATTCTGCAAGTGAACATGGAGAAACACTCTGCTCTGCATACTGGGCTTTGTGAAGGAACAGCAGTGGTGGTTTATATTTGTATTTTGGGTTTCTGACAGAACCTGATTACTTCCTTTAATATTAAAAAACACATTATTTTTCTCTTACTGTCTCAGTGAAGATAGCTGTAAACATCCTCCCCGTTTTAGCGCCTGTCTCTTTAAGCCTTTGCAAAGATGCTTCTTAAGCCACGAGCGGTATATTCTAATGAGCTCGCATGTGACATGGGGAGGGAGGCCAAATCTCAATGTCTCGTTTAATCACATGTGTTCCGATCTAAGTAGGCGACAAAAAAACTCACCTTGACTGATTTCATCATTAATTATTCTATTTTATTTTATGTGCTTTTAAATATACTTGAGTAAATGTAGTTACTTTCCACAACTGATCAGGAAAACCAAGCGTATACCAACGATCAAGGGGGAAAAGCTCTGTCGTGTCTTTTACTGACGGTGACCTGTTACTTTACTCCTGCTGTTCCTTCAGTTCGACATGTAAATAGTAGTCCAACACATCTCACGCAGCAGCAGCAGCCCCTGTCTGTGTGGAAGCATTTGCCATCTGTCCGTAAGCTCACATAGGATGTCAAGGATTTGTCGAGGCTTTTGCATGTATAGTCTGGACGCAGAACAATACATTCAGCACAGCGGCTGTTCTGCTCAGAAGACGGGTTATGAGCAAAACTAAATGATATAATATATTACACCCACCCCATATTCTCCTAGTAGAGCTGATATTAGTTTCAGTCATTCTTCTTTTTTTTTAAGGACCTTGATGCGTAAGATTTGCACATTTTAAAGAGATAAATGAGGTTTTTTAACCGAGAGAGAGAGAGAGAGGGAGAGACCCTGGAGGGCCTCAGTCCGTCCTGTCACAATGCCAGACCAATTGGCCCTGTAAGTGATCCACGGACACAGACTCTGCAGGTCAACTGTGACAGCCTGCCTGGTGTGTGCATTTGTGTCTGGTGTGGGTGGGTACATCACTGCATCTGCAGCCTGTCCCGCATGATGCCAGTGGCTGTCAGTCTTCATCTCCTGATGCAGAATGCAGAGGTGTGTGTGTGCGTGCTTGTGTGTTCGCCCCTAATGAAATGAGATTCAGGTAGCGATGTGTCGAAGGGCATCACAGGGTTAGAAATGCAGAAGAGCAATACGTTGCCACGGCAACAGTCGATGACACTATGTCCACGTAAGAGTGGCTCATGTAGGGGGAGTGAGAGAGGAGAGGTGGAAACAAGTCTAAGGGAAGCAGTTGCCATAGCGACTCTCGCTTTCTTGCCGCTACCTGTAAATTTCTCCGCCCAGTGCGAGTGTGTCTGCCTGACTTTAGCTAAAGTATGGCTATGTGCTAGGTTTTAGGATGCGTATTCTCTGCTGAATCCTTTCATGTTTCAGCAGGTATTTCACATGTAGCTCTGCCCTGCGTGTGTTTGTGTATAAATACAGAAGCAGGTTTTGCAGGAATTAGACACCCTCCATCTCTTTTCCCTTAAAACAGATGCTATCGTGGTTATTTATGTGGTTCTTCTGCACTACTACTCTTTGATATCCCCAGGCATATATACATACACACAAACACACACACACACATAGAAACCAACAGGATCTGCCACCGTGCCACGGTTCCAAGTCTTGTGCGCCATATGCTACTGGAGGCTCCTGGCAGGAGTATCATTGCTCTCGGTCACTGGGGGGGGGGACTGGTTCAAAGGCCAACGAGGGCCCTTCAGGGACCAGGCCGTATGAACACAGCCCTGCGCTGGCAGCCATATGTTACAGCATCTGACATGGACTCTGAAGTATTCTGCATGCATTTGGAAAGACCGATCCCAGGACGCTTTATCATAGTTTTAATGAACGTCGATTTGATTTTTAACCCTCAGCTTGCGTGAAATTTTCCTGTTTACTGTGTAGATGAAAGTGATTTATCTCTTTTCAATGGTATTCAAGAATACTACATAACTGTTAATGTATCTAAAAAGGAGAATGACTTACTGTAGTGTGTTAGGAACGGGGGAAGCACTTTCATGTTTTAAGAATAACAATGTAAGGCTCAAAGTACCTCCCAAGAACCAACTTGCTGTCATCCATCCCAATGATAAAAATTACTTTTTAACATGGAACCTTTCTGTTATCTTTCCATTTCTAACCTTAAGGCAGTATCCACAAACAATTTGTGCCAGCGCAAAAAGAAATGATGGCCTCGGAGAAAGCAGTGTTTTCTAGAGATTCCCCACGGGGGGAATCGACCCAGAAATAGGTCGACAAAGTTGTCCCCGCCGCTCAGGGCGACTTGCTATTTGCATTTATGGGAGTTCCAAGTTCCAACGTGCAAAATAAAATGAGGAAATTATGGAAATTCACAGAAGACATGATATATTAAGAGCCAGGGGCCATTTATTATCTGTTGGTGGCACACCGGATGTTCTTCAGACCGTGGCTTTTCTCTTAGCACACTTTGTTTTAACGCACAGTAACTCCAGATGTCACACTGGGGCTTTTTTTTTAAACCAGTAAATTGCCCTTGCGCTGCACAGTGGCCTGTTTTTTTTTTGTCGTCCCTGAGCTCTTTTCTTACAGTGTTGAAACATATTTTCTTTGCAACAGAGGGCTCTCTGGGGCGAGCTTTGACACCAAACCCTTGAGCTCTAAATGCTTGTGCTCGCCCCACACTTTTGTAAGTTCTTCATCTGAACTAATTACTTATTTCTGCCATCAAATTGCGCTTAACCTTTTGAGCTCATCAGCGTTGCGCCAATCTGGGCCTCTGTGTGAAATAGCCCGTCTCCAATATGCTACGCTACCCTGCGATTGTCTGCAGACATTATTGCTTTAATTCCCTGGAAACGTTTTATTGGACTCTTGCCGTGGCGTCTTTTCTGCCGCTGGAATCCTCCCCTGAAATCTAAATTACCTGAATCTCCCGTTTTAGAGCAGACGTACAGCTGCAGGGAACAGAAAACTATTCTCATCCAGCCCAGCAATTTGTTCAGCATTATATTTTGGTCCAACACTATGTGTTCAGAGTCAATTTGTGAGGTGTGAATACACTTATTAACGATTGCTGTCTTTTCTCCTCTTTGTGCGTGTAGATATCCGGGACCGGAGGAAGAAGCCGGTGATGCTGTTCATCCATGGCGGCTCCTACATGGAGGGCACCGGAAACATGTTTGATGCCAGCGTCCTGGCGGCCTACGGCAACGTGATCGTGGTGACCATGAACTACCGGCTCGGCGTGCTCGGTGAGTGGCTTGGACGTCTTAACTGACCGAGCAACACGTGGGGGGCGCACGGAGACATTCCAACTCCGCTCTGATGATAATACATTCATCTCCTCGCTCGCCAGGCAATCATAATGGCAAAGTGGATTTCTCTCAGCAGACTCTTCTTGATTAAGTCGCTGATGAATGACTTTAATGCAAGTTATCAATATAATGACAAGGAGTGCCTGCGTTGATCCCGAGCGCTCTTTTTCCTGTGGATTTCCCTTTGTTGATAGCTCCAGTCCGAACGCTGGTCATGCGTTTGCACCTTGTTTGAATGGAAGGATTTTGTGAAAAGCATTTTGATATTTAACAACAAATAATGTTGCTGCGTTTTTCAGAAGATTTGATGAGATTTCTGTCTGGATTAAAACTGAGACAGAAATAGATTACAGATACATTTGTGAGTTGAGGCCCAAATTGTTGTAATTGCTTTAATTATCAAGGATATTATTACCTTCATATACATATTACAAGCAGTGAGAGTTCTGTATTCCATTCTATTCTAAAAGTGAGTTATATTCATAACTTTATCCTTAAATTCCTTAAATTGGATTGATGAACTTGCACCACCTTCTTGCCATGTAACCGTTCCCTATATTATTTATTTGGTGAACAAATCATGCCTATTGTCTCAAGTTAGTAACTCCTTTGGAAAGGAGCGAAAGGGGGAACAAACATGCAAATCACATACAGATCTGGCATTTTTACTCACACAGAAATGCACCTTCCAATTCCTCTTTTTTTACTGCATGCTGTTGCCCGGCACCCACAAACTCTGTCCTGCAGCAATTTAAATCATCCCACAAAGAGCAAAAAAAAAAGCATGTCTTTACGGTGTGTCTAGGTGGGCGGTGTTCGGTCATGATGCACTTCTGAGCCGTTTCTACAAGACAGCACAGTGAAGGAGAGGGGTTTTGCAAAGTGGTTAAAGTGGCTTTGTGGGCCGAGTGTAGTCGGTAAACTGTGGCCTGTCTGTTCAGCTCACGCGAGCTTCTGCCATTGCCACGTTTGTGAATAAAAAAATAATCATTCGCCGCCTCGGCTCTCTGGCATGAGCTTGTCATCCTTTTCCTGAAAATACGCTTGACTTGGCCTCCTGGTTACTCCGTCTCGCTCTTTTGAGACCAAGTAATTTAGCTTTGGAGAGGAGGAACATGTCTCCAAGGAGGCAGGTGCTAACAAAGGAAACTAAATGCATTAGATATTTCATTAGCCAAAGAGAGCGGGCTGCTGGAAGCTGTTTTAAAATCCTCTTCTCATTTGTTTCCATTTTTTTTTAAGGCCGTTTCTGTGCTGTCCGCTGAGACTTTCACGCCGTTCACTTTTTGTTTTATTTATTCATGACAGACATATTTTATTTGCCTGCAATTCCATAAAGTGTTTCAACTCTGAAATTTGATCTAAAATGTGACTATTATCAAAGATTGTTGTTTTCATTTATCCGTGCCGGGATAAGGCGTTAAAGGATTTTTTTTTTTACAGCTCAATTCTTTCTGTAGAACTAAGATTTTTCTCATTATTTTGACTGCTAAGATCAAGGAACCCAGCAGCATTTCTCAAACGAGCGCCTTGCACTGATTGCCCGTCCGTGGAGTCCTCCGGCTACTTGTGCTAGCAGTAGACGTGTTCTTTGTATTTGTTTGTATTGATTATTTTGTGGGCGAGGCTTCGGAGGGTGGGCCCGGGGGGACGGGTTTGCAGATGAGATTTAATGACTTTTAGAACTGCTGCTGCTTTTTATTTTCATTGCACACACTGTGTGCCGGGTTCTTCAATTGAATCGTTTGTTTGTATCCGACGTGCTCTTTCTGGGGCCTCAGATGTTTCCTACCTGAGCTTAAGACAGTGTCCCAGGTTGGCTGGTAGAAAATATACACTCGGTTCTCTAATAGAATTATCATTGCCATTTTTCTACTTCCAAGTGGTTTGAGAATTCCTTCTACCCTGCTGGCTTGTTAACGGCCTGTCAGGCGACCCGTTTCTCTCTCCGGTTTGTCGTGGAAGTGATGTGGCATCATGGAGAATTTGACGATTGCAGCATTATCATGACAAAAATAAGTACCCAGTCGTAAGTGCTTTAATCCAGTCAAACCAACGGCACTGCTTTTGTGAATACGTTTGGTTTATTATCAGATCTGTTGTTCATCTAATCCGGCTGACACCGACTTGTTACTGCATTACTGCAAGAAAGAAAAAGAAAAAAGATGACTGTAGAGTACTACATGATCTTGGATTACTACCATGTCACTGGGTGTGCGGGACTGGATCTTATTCCTCTCCTGCTCCAGCATCTTTACACACCTCTCCCTTCGCTAGTCAGCTGGCGTCGCTTTCATCAAGGAGAAAGCAAATTGAGAGGGAGACGTTTGTCATTTGTATGCAAAGAGAACACTGAGGCTCCCTCCCAAACATGAGAGCCATCCAGTCTGATTTGGCCATGATTAGGAGAAATGTGAGTAATCTTCCATCCTGTGTGATGGATGGCATTTTACCTTGATGGAGACCGGAGAGAGCGAGAGAAGCAGAGAAGCCTGTGTGGGTTGGTTGAAATGCGCATTTGTGATTTTCTTTTCTTTTTTGAGGTGGTGTGCGTCCAACACGTGTAGCTGCGTGCGTTCATGCATACCGATGTCTGCTCTGTGGACACACTGCGAGGCTTCCCCCCGTGTTTGTGTTCTTGCTTCAGCAATCGGACACGCTGATTTGGAAGGGCAGCTCAGGAATTATTGATTCAGGAGCTAGATGTGGTCATGTGAAATGCAAACTCAATTCTGCGTGCCTGCCAGACAGAAACGGTTATCTTCAATCTCTGCAGCACATATTGGGTGTTATAAATGTAAGAGAGTTGACTTTTTTGGGCTTTAGTGAGGAGTGCAAAAGTGTAGGAAGCCAAGCACAAGCGACTGTAAAGGTTGCACACTTTTCTTTTAGGATTTTGTTATCCTGATTACAGCTGTATGGAATCTTCTCTGCCACTAGACTTGAAATCTGATTGTCAAGACGTTTTTCTACACTTGTAATCTCGTACTTTGTACATGAGGAAATACCAGGGGAAGACATTTGAGGTTGCTCAGAAGACTTCTTCAAATACAAGAGCACAAAGGGAAAGTCCTGGCATCCTTTTAAAAAAGGACTTGATTCTATACCCACAATGGAAGCCGAGTATATTCAGACCCTTACAGTAGAAGTTGGTCTAACTGGTGGACCTGCTGCACAGGAGGGTTAAGACCACTGCTTAGGGACCTGGTGAGTTTCCTTGCTATTCCAGTTGGACCGTTTCTTAATGGAGTTAATTAAGTAAATGTGATGAAAGCTTAGTAAGGGCAGAGTAAATTCGTATCCTTTGGTATAATTACTGCAAAAAGAATCTTGTCTCTGCTTGGCTTTTTTTCTTGCCGTAATTAATTGTGAAACAGTATTTAGGACTCACGGCTTCAGCAGCTGCAGATACAATATATTCAATATGGAAACTAAGTAAATGCATATCTCGGCCAACATCTATTTCCCATAAACTCTCTGTATACACCCATGCATTGCCAGTATGCAAGCATTTAGGAGAAGATAAATCAAGCACAGAGAGACAGGAGGTCAGGGAAGATGGGTCTCTCCTCGCGGCTGATTGAGATACGCAACCATTTTCTCTCTCCGTCTCCACTGGCGCGCTTATTTCACAGCCACCTCTGCAGCCCGGCCAGCGTTACGCAAATGCTAACGAACATGGCATTATTCACGCAGCGCAACGCGCCCGGCTCTACCCATAGTCTAATATGGAAATGTACCTGTCGGCTCAGGGAAGAAGAAGAACAAGAAGCATTCGGCGGTCTCTAGCCAAGTCTCTGCAGGGTTCAAAATGTAATGAAAAGCTTCACCGGGCCTCTAAGCGCTTGACCTTGCCTCGGCTACGTTTGCGCCAGACGTGCTTACAGTTCGTACGTCACCTCCACCCCGATGAGCTTTTTATATCCTCCGTCACAATGCGGGAGTCTGGGTGGGTGAGCGCGAGCCGGAGAGAGAGAGAAGAAAGGGAGACTATGCATCCATCCAGACATTAACGATGATGATGGAAGCAGAGGGGCGGAACAGAGTACAAAGCTTAGAGCATTTTCTGGAGCTGCAACGCTTATGTTGACATGCAGCATGAGCTGTGTGTGTGTGTGTGTGCGTGCCTTGGCCAACATACACCCACTGGGCGGGGGGGGGAGATTTTTTTAAATGTAAGAAGTGCCAGTGGGAGAGAAATAGAGGGGGAGGGGTGGGGGGGGGGGGGGGGGGGGTGAATAGAGGGACTGCATTTGCCTGTGATGCTAAAAATAAAACCTGCCGAGCCACGTTTGAGTGTGTGCTGGAGCAGACATTCATCCAGAGCACAATTTATGCTCTATAATGCCGTGCGCCCACCTCGTGCATGTAGCGGATATGGCATCAATATCTGTGTATGGACTGAACAAACACACACACACACAGAGACCTGAATGGGTTGTGCTTAGAATAAGTCCTCCTTACAACATGTCCGCCTCACACCTCTGTGTAAAACTTTGGAATTCAATATGGCGAGAAATTGCCTGCTCAACAATTTTGTGTCTAACGTCCAGACAGCGATGCGAAAAGTGACTTGACAGGACCGGAGAAGATATTAAGACACACGCCTCTCCCAAAGGCGCGTGTCTTAATATCACACCCACACTGTTCCCAGTCTCCATAGCAACCTCCGGCGGAATGGGTGAGCAAAGTCCTCTCGAGTCTATGTGAGGGAAGCAAAAAGGGGACTGTGGTATCTTAAGTGGGTATCTGTGTGTGTGTGTGCTCAGTAGTGCGGAGTGTGTGACTTTGAGAAAGAGGACAGGCTGGTCCGCTATTATCTCAGAGGGGATTAGCACCTCAGCTGGCCAACATCTCTCTCACACACACACACACTCACACACAATTACAGACCGATACACATTCCCACGGGCAGGTGAGACGCGCACGTTAACACG